GCTTAAAAGTCACTTTTGATCAACTTAATTAAATTGCTGATATAGTATGTGATCTAATAAAAATGCAACAAAAAAGCTAAGGTAAGGGGGAAGACAATTATGACCCAGATTCCCATGAGTATAATAACACAACCTTTGATCTCAAATTATCCTCTTGACTGGCTTGTCAGAAAGAACATGCCAGTGTCCATTTTTGTTGCTATCCTAGTCTTCTACCCACGTGTAATACAAACACATTTTATTATGAAAAGTTACAAACACCAGGTTTTTGATGGAAGCAAAAGATTCACATAAGTACAAGGACTGTTCAGATTCAGCGGCGCTGCCGATCAGCTCTTGCTGTATCACAGTGAGCATCATTAGAGGAGAGAGAGACGAAGAGGACCAGTGGGGGGATGGTGATAGATTGAAGAAGGGCGGGCTGAAGATTGTATGTGAGCGAGAACGAGGGAGGGGGGGAGGTAAGAAAGAACCGAGATACACTGAGCCAGTGTAGCAGGAATCGCCACAGAGATGCCGAGGGTCTTTCCATGAAAGCGGAAACGCTCTCATGCACGCACGCACGCACGTGCGGTGAAAGGTAAGACATACGGGGGCGTTCTTCCTTTTGCATGCTGGGTGTATAATCCGCTCTGCAGACAGAGTGAACAGCAGGGGGGAGGATTCAGCACTTAAAAGGATCTCAGCATCCAGTGATGCATTTTTCACTGGCCACATTCCCTGACGGACAGTTTCGGGGAGACTCTGGGAAGCACGTCCGCTGGAATGAGGTAGAGGGATGCTGGGTGTACCTTAATATCTCTCTGATTCCCTTTATTTTGTAACAGTAAATGCATTCAAAGAGCATTACTGAATTAGGTGAACTGAAAAATAGTGATTTAAATGTTGTATTTTGTGTGTTTCCTGTTTTGTTCCTCCCAAACTTCTGCTTTGAGACTGTTTTGAGCCGTTTTGAATGTATTCCCTTGCACCTCTTTTGTGTTTTGTCATGCCTGTGTGTGTGTGTGTGTGTGTGTGGTCAGGTTTACCTATTATGGGTTTTAAGGAAAATGCTCAATAAACATACTAAATAATGTCTTAGTGACAATATAAAAATGCAAAATGGTTCATATAAGATGTTGGGGATAGATAATATAATGTGCTCTGTATAAAACCAGTAGAAGTCAATGAACAGTCTACAGCAGGGGTTTTCAAACGGGTCCACAAAATAATTTGCTATCGGCCTACCGTATTTTCCGGACTGCAACTTGCGTTTTTTATCTTCTGAAACGTGCTATGATTTATATTCCAAAGTGACTTATATAATGCATTAATGTCAAATAAGCAAAGCATAACCACTTAAATGGGTGCACTTCAAGGTTTATATAGCTAAATATATTTCTCATGTCTGTTTGACAAGTAGACAGTATCGCAGTTTTTCTTCATTTTAGGAAGTGGTTCACAATCACATAGACCAAGACGGCAAGCGCATTTTGTTTGTTTTCTTTATTTTACAAAAGCACAACGTTTCACTGTCATTTTGAAGGTACACAAATAAAAATAGACCGTTTTGAATGATGTCTTGCTCTTATCTGACGGATATCACATTTTTCCGCTGATATAAGGAATCCAAAGTGTTTGCGCTATAAATACAGTAATAAAGTTGTAAAAGCTGCAATCCATTTCTTATTGGTTAAAATGAACGAAGACTATCTTGTGTTTTTCACAAGCACCCACGGGATCGGCGCCTATGGCATTTAAAATGATCGGCATTATAATTCATTGTTTATATACATATATATATATATAGTATACATGTATATTCATTTATTTTTGTTCTGTTATGAATGGCACAAAATTTAAATGATTTGGAGTGAGGGGAATAAAATTCATGTTAGTGTTTATAATGTTTTTTTCCCCCTAACATTCGTTTTATTTAGACCTATTCAGTATTTAAATTATTTCTGAAAGTAATACACACCGATGCAACTTATGTTTTGTTTGAAAAGTTTGAAAACCCCTGGTCTACAACATGTGTGTGTGTACAGGCATGCAAGATCATGCAACCTGTCAATTAATGAACCTGCTTGTAACACGTTTTTCAGGTGCATATGCAATATTGTGACGTGTTTTGATTTGATGGACAGGCTGTTTTCTGATAATCTACTGAATCTGAATGAATTAGGCTCTATCCCATGAGGCTCAATGACTCCTGCTGATGTCATTTACGATAATCTTCTCCAAAGAGATTTAATTTGATGTGTTTGCTTGTGTCTACAAGCATTTATGTATATAATTCACACACACATACACACACCAAAAGAGAGCTAGAGCTGTCAGCACTAATGATGGCCTTTAGCAGTGCGTGATAGTGAAAGGGACAGATGGTGGCAGAAGGGTGGCTGAATGACCTTTCACCTCACATTTTCAGCTTTACATGAATCATTCTGTAAGGGCGAGAACTGGGCAAAAGAACTATTCCTCTGGAGAAATAGAGGATGATAAAAGGTCAGGCCCAAGGTCTTCAGACTGCAAATCAAAAGTAACCATTTGCAATCTGGCATTCGTACTATTCAGGTTTTGTGTTTGATTTGTGGCATTTTCTATATGACATTTTCACCAATGGTATTTTCAAATGGTTGGGCAGCTGAGCTGCAAAGTACTAGCAAGATGACCCTGATCTGAGCATATGTCTGGTGAGAATCTTCTCAATGCAGCTGCAGCATATGAGGAAGATGGAGAGTGACACAGAGCAGCATAATCTTTCCATCACGCACGTCATAATCAGAGTGAAAGGGAAAGAGAAATAGAGAGATACTTTTGGGCCTTTGAGAGAATCAGCATGGGTTAGAGGGCTTTTAGAAAACCAAAAGTCTGTAGTAAGGTTACAGCTTGTCTGGTACAAGCCGTACCAAAATTTCAGATCATGACACCCCTCAATATTTCAACACTTTTACTGGGGGTTTAAGCTCCTTGTGTTAAATATACAAATTCAAAATATCTATAGGTGTCACAGATTAAATCTTTCATCAGCACAAGGATGTGATTTCTAAAACCATACATAGGCCTCTGTTTGTATGATAGGGGGCTTGAGATTTTTTTGTATTTATTTATTTTTATTCATTTTATTCAGCATTTTTTGCTGAAATATAAAATCACAAATATAGTCAATCAAACAACATTTTTCTGCAATGTTTTCAGTTGTGTCCTGTGTTTACCAATGTACAATTTATTAATCATGAAATACAGAAGTCAAAATTAAGGTTCTTAAGTGGTTCTTTCCTTAGGTTTAGAAAATAACCTCTTATATTTAATTTTTATAGAAAAGGAATGAGAAAATGTTACAGAAAAAAACAACAACAACAGTTAAATGGTTAAATGTACGATACCTGACCATATAGTGAAAAAAAATTAATGGTTTAACATTGCATTAATTTGTCATTTTACTGTAAAATATTGTCAAATGTAATAACTACAAATTGCCATATAATTTATGGTTAAAAAAATGTACAAGGAAATTCCCAGATATATTTTGTTAAAATATTTTTGTTTCTTTTCATTTTTGTAGTTTATAATGTACTGTACCTTGGTGTTTTTTTTTTATTGTTATATAGTTCATGTTTATTGCACTTTTTTATTCTCATGTGTTTTACCCCCATACATCTATGAGTATTGGCCATGTTTTATGAACAGGCCACTTATAGGATGAACTCTGATTCATCATGGGGTTTTCTATTGTACCACCTGTATTATAATCATGGCTATCAGTACATTTAGAATACAGAACAGTATTTTTGTAGTTTAAGTAGACTGGTGAATTGATATCCAGCTATTATACAACATAGCTTTAAAGTTTAAGTTTAAATGGACATACACCACTACGTTATCCCATAATAACAGAAACATTCACACTGTCACACAACTTAAAAATTTCTCCAATGGGATCACAGGAACATGCAAAGTTTATAATTGGAACTTAAAATGGTTCTCCAATGGAATCTTTGTTAAAGTGCACTGCCTTTTCAAGAAACTCGTTTTCAAGCATTGCATTGAATGTTTAGGGCTATTTTGTATTGAGTTGTAGACAGGCTAAATGATTTAAGTCAAGTCAAGTCAAGTCACCTTTATTTATATAGCGCTTTTAACAATACAGATTGTGTCAAAGCAACTGTACAGCATTAATTAGGAAAATAGTGTGTCAATAATGCAAAGTGACAATAGTAAACACTAATTTTTCAGTTAAAGGCAGTTCATCATTGAATTCAGTGATGTCATAATCCAGCTCAGTTCAGTTTAAATAGTATATGTGCAATCAAGTCGACGATATCGCTGGAAATTAAGTGTCCCCAACTAAGCAAGCCATAACATTTCTGCCTTTGACATTGAGAGCATAGGTCGTAATTTAGATATATTTTTGAGATGGAAAAATGCAGTTTTACAAATGCTAGAAACGTGGCTTTCTAAGGAAAGATTGCTATCATATAGCACACCTAGGTTCCTAACTGATGACGAGGAATTGACACAGCAGCCATCAAGTCTTAGACAGTGTTCTAGGTTATTACATGCAGAGTTTTTAGATCCTATAATTAACACCTTTGTTTTTTTCAGAATTTAACAGTAAGAAATTACTTGTCATCCAGTTTTTAATATCGACTATGCATTCCGCTAGTTTTTCAAATTGGTATGTTTCATCGCTGAGATATCATCGCTTGGCTGCATAATTTCAACACCATCAACATCAATTCCATGTGACCATTTAACCATACACTATGTTTGCAATCAAACTGAAAACCATCATTTTCAGACTAGGTAAAAAGGAACTTCTTACTTTAGTGCAGAGTATACTGTTTGATGTGATGTCTCTCTGGATGAAACTCAGTGATAAAGTATTGATTGTTGTTGGCATGGGGATTATTTCCTGAGGGACTCATTTTCGAGTGAAGTGATCATATTTCTACTTCACTCATTTACTGTGAACTGTGCAGACCACCAGAATCTATACCCCTTTCTAAAGAGAGATGCTTTCCTTCAACTGACTCACAACAAGATTAAACTGAGATGACTAGTGTAATTTAATTTAATGCCATGCCTAATGACTATTGTCATATCTTTCATTCTCCCTCTCTCTTCTCTTTCTTTCTGCTTGTTTTGTTGACTGGGTACAGTCTATTTTTATCTCATCTATTTAAAAAAAAAAAAAAAGCTAAATTCCATGATGGGGTTTGTCACTTCATAACACAGCAAACCTCACCATGCAACATGCACCCAACATTTTTAAAGCCATTTCAATGAAATGATCAAATGAGCATAAAATATTATTATTATGTCGTACAGGATCCGCCTCATTGATTTTAATGTGCCTCATCATTATTGAACAGTTATTTACCATGCAATCCATAGCAGGGAACAGTTATAATGTTAAGGGTTTCCTAAAGTTTGCTTGTGCCATTTTATTTCTAACAGGCTTTTCAGATGAGCCCGCATTTTTGAGTGACCTGAGAGAAGAGGAGAACCATTTTTCCTTCGTCTCTGTCTGTCACATGAGCAGTAATGCCTGTTCTCTCACCTACCACAGGTACGTCATACAGTAGCTGTGAATGAAAAATTAGCTCACTTGATCATCATAATAAAGAACAGTAATTTCGTCCTCATTAAAAAAGTACATATAAAGAAATTGAAAAAAAAAATTTATATCATGTAAAATCATGTACATTCACATGAGATTCCAGTCATTTCAGTTGCCTATTAAACGTTTTTCATGTTGCATGGAAAAATGTTGAGAACACATGAACAATTGAACACTATTTGTTTAGTCACCTATTATGAAACAGTTTTGCTGAGCAAATATTTTAAATATGACTAAAGCCATTTTCAATACTATTGGTAAATGAAAATCTTTGTTTTTATGTGATACCACATTCACACTAATAGACATCAGTAAGTCCTGCTGTATTGGTCAATGCAACATTATTATATTATTAATGATTCGAAAAAGTATACAGAAAAGGAATAACTGTACAATTTTAAAGTATTCTTTTTTTTATCTTGCAGGTTTGCATGAGATGCTAGCCCTCCTCACCTCCCAGCTGCACCCAGATGCTAATCACAAAGAGGACATGGTTTTCCTAAGGGAGGTCTTCAGTGAGAGGAGCCTCAGCTATCTTATGAAAGTGCGTAAAGCTGGAGATAATGTCTGACATCCTAATATTGTGTTTGTGAATGATTATCCATATGTACTGACTTTTCATGCAGATCCATGAGCGACTCAGGCAGTTCCAGCTCCAGAGCCCGACCCCAGTGCTCCACAGCGCATCCTGCCTGGCAGAAGACGTAAGTGGCATCTCTACCTCAACGGCAAACAATCAAATCTTCATTATATATCTTATATATGACTTATATATACAACCTAATATATATATGCTAATTTTTTTTTTTTAAGTTTCAAAAGCTGTTCAAAATGTTGGTAAGATTTTTTTAATGTTTCTGAAATGTTTCTCTTTTGCAAACCAAGACTGCATTTACTTTATTTTTAATATTTCATATTATATTTAAAATAACTATTTTTATTGTAATATATTTTAAAATGTACTTTATTCCTGTAATGACAAAGCTGAATTTTCAGCAGCCTTTACTCCATTCTTCGGTGTCACATAATCCTTCAGAACTCATTCTATGGTTAGTTAGTGCTTAAGAAACATTTCTTATTATTATCAATGTTGAAAACTATCATACTGACCCAAAACCTTTGAATGTTATAATATATAAAACAGCAACACACGTTTAAGGCTAGATGTTTTTAATGAAAAATTAAAACAGTGATTAAGTGTGGGTTTTTTCACTGTACTATTAAATGTTGCCATGTTTTTGCGTTTTTGCTGATATTGGTCTTGTGGTTTGCATTGACAGGTCGCAGAGGAGCTACAGAACGGACCACTGGAAGAAGATGAGAGAGAGCTATTAACACTTCTTACTGCTCCACATGTGAAGGTGCAAAACTCACACTTGTGCCCCTGTCTTTGTAGAGATTTTCCCGACTGCTGATTTTCCTAATTCATGTCTTTGTGGTAAATTTTCTGAAAAATCTTCCATTGATCTTAAATTGCCCTAAAGTACAATTTATGATATTTTTTATAAATAATATATAATAAGATATGATGCTGACACAATAATTCCTGTTAAATCAGTGTTTAAATGAAGCTTGACGTAATTAAGCTTAATTCATTTCTATTTGATAGTGAGCAGCATGACAAAATAGAATCAGATGACATTTTACAGCCTTCTAATTAGACTCGCTCATTTCCTCCACGTGCCCCAGGCATCAGTTTCCTCTTCTCTGTTTTTTTTTTTCCATTCTCTGTCAACCGATTTACACCTACATGCTAATTCTCCCTCTCATTTATACACGAGCACATTCTTTCTTCCACAGCACCATTGGGTCATCTTGTCAACTTTTGTTGTGATTTTTCTCTCCATCAGGCAGTGCTAACAGTACATGACACAGTGGCACAGAAGAACTTTGAGCCTGTGCTTCCCCCTCTACCAGATGATCTAGACGATGAACTGGAGGAGGAATCAGTAAAGATTGTGCGTTTGGTTAAGAACAAGGAGCCTCTTGTGAGTTTCAGGATTGAGCTGTTTTGTCAACATAATGGACTAATATTCTTAATGTACTGTCCATTATCATTAAGACATGCAAAATATAGGCTTATATTTAATTTCTGAAATCAATTATGTCTCTTTAGGGTGCGACCATCCGCAGGGATGAAGTAACTGGGGCGGTAGTGGTTGCTAGGATAATGAGGGGAGGAGCTGCAGACCGTAGTGGTGAGTGACAGCCTGATCCTTCCCCTTGTCAGCATAACTTTTTTTTTTCCTCTGTGCAAACTGGGTTTTTTTACACTGTGGCTGGACAACAGCTAAATCTCTCTCAGCAAATTTGATGTAACATAATCTGTGATGACGCAATCAGGGACCATCCGAGCCAAAAACTGACTGTAAAACCCATGACAGACGACTCAATTCTCAATGGAGAGATAAAGAGAGGGAATTGAATAACCATTTATTTAAATGTTACGCAAAATAATTTATTGAGAATCTCTCCTATTAGATATCCAAAATGACATTTTGACAATTAGATGTCAGCAACAAGGGGAGACTATAATCACAGCAGAATCATTTTTTTTTTAATATTAATAGAATTCTGAGCAGCGGATTTTTCTTATCACAAGCAAAATATTGATTAAAAAAACCCTTGAGATTATGCTTTGCTTTGGGATTACAGATTATACTGGAAATATACAGAGCAGATTTCATGGTTGCCATGGAAATTCTGTTGAAATATGACATGTACCTTGCAACAGGCCCGGTTCTTGACGGCTATAGAAGGGTGGGCTTGCAGATATCCTTGGTCTAGAAGATATTTATACTGTACATATTGCTATATTAACTATATTATATGTACACTGAAAAACGCTTTCATGGGCAGCCTAGAATATCATGCACTTTCACAGCAAAATAAACTTTTTTCTTCTTTATTGAATAGTAAAAAAAAAGCCCTCTTTGTTCTCCTTCTCTTTATCATTGTTTCTATACTGGTGACTCTTTTCAACTAACTTTTTTATTTAAGACCAGACCAGACTTTTTTATTTAAGACCAGGTAATGATAACTAAAGAAGAAACTAAATAAATAAAGGATTTAAATGGATTTAGGGGAATAAATAAAAATAATAAAAAAGAACAGTAAAAGAACAAGAATAAGAATTTTTGTAAAGTAATGAATCTGAACTGCAAATAATATATTTATTTTAAAATATGCACCCATTCAATTTCAGTTGTAGGCCTATTGTTGAAAACGCAAAAAAAGAAAAATGCTATTGTCGTCATAATCAATTATAAATCACATGAATCGTGTAAATGGCAGACCTACTTTCCATTCAAAACCGTGGAATTTGACAAAAAAAAAAAAGTCGAATAGTTTGCATCACTGGATATTGTTGGTCGTTTATGTCGGGGAACGCTACGTTTCTTATACAGTCGAGCCGACTGTTGCAACGAACGCAACTTTCACCGCACAAGCTCTACTTTCAGTTTTCATTCTTACATTCAGCATTAACAGCAGTCCAAAAGCGGTAAGCTTTCAACTGAACTGTAGGCTATAGCCTGTAGCGTCTGGACCAATCAAACACACAATTTTTCATTTGATTTAACAAATCAGTTATTCATTAGATTAACAAATCGTCACAGACCCCTCACCCAATAAACTGGGTGTCAGGATGTCTGCGAACGACACCAGGCCCCCCTGGTCACCATGGCAACCAATGCTGATATCACTGGTTTTATGGCCCGTGGCCCAGTAAACTTCGAACACCGATAACAAGACCTTCTGCAAATTCCTCAGGTCCTTGAACAGCCCCCTACACACACAAACAAATGTTATCAATCTAAAGTAGACCACACAAATCATAACTTGATAACCTTGTAAAACATGACACGTGAAAGAACAGTCAGAAATGTAGAAGTTTTTTTTTTAAATCGAACTGTAGAACCACGAGACAGAAAGCTAAAAATATATAAATATAAAGTTATATAAATAAATAATATATATATATAGACATTTATAGACATTTAGACATTTAAATAATAATACAGCAGGCTGCATATATTAAATTAAATTAAATTAAAATTTTAATTTAAGGATTAAATGATTTGATGGTCATTTTAGTAGCCATAATACATCATTACATGCATTATATTGATATTTTAAATATTCCTCAAATACCTGTAAAAAATGACTGTGAATTTAATGGTAAAAGACTGTAAAAATGCTACAGTAAAAACCTGTTAAATGGTTAACGGTAAATTCCCCTTCTATATACGGTGAAAAACTGTATTGGACATTACATGTATTGGACATTAATTTTACGGTAGTATACCGTTTTTGGAAGTGAAAAATACCGTATAATTTACAGTGAATAACCGTAAATTGACATTCCCAGAATTCCCTGCGTTACATTTCAAATTTGATGTTTTTTTTGTTGAAATAACTATGTTTCTTCTTAGTTTTTTTCTTATCAGTTTTGTATATTAGGGTTGTGTGTTACACCTAATGTTGTTAAATGAATGTTCATTGCATTATTTCAGTTTCATGTGTGTTACCATGATGGTGTTTAGCGTTTGTGTGAATGACACTGTGCACCTTCTTTATATGTTATTATTTAAAAGCTGCTTGTGATGGGCTTTGGTTCATCATGTGACTTTCTCATCACCACCTGCTTTTTGTGGTTATCAGTGTATTATAAAGGTACCAAACAGATTTCCGTACTTCAATAGGTTGGTATATTAACATTATATCAGTTAATGAAATTACGGTATTTAACTGTAAATTTAAGTTAAAACCTAAAACGTTGCTACTGTATTTTTTACGGTAAAATTCCGGCAACCACAGCTGCCGTTTTTTTACCGTAAATTTTACGGAATTTGTTTTACAGTGTACATGCATTTTAGATGCTTATATTATGCTCTTGCCCCGTCCATGCATGTTATTATATGAGCGGGTTTTTTAAAACATTAAAACTGCTCAGGTAATTTCAGTGGTAGGCTATGATACATATTCATGTAGCCTATTAAACTCCCCGTAACTCACAAACTCCCCGTAATAGCGCGCAAATATTTCTGCCCGTTTTCGCTCATTGTCAGCATCTGCTTTTCTGCAACAGACTGAAGCTCCGCGTGAATTCAGCATGCCTTGCATTCAGCTAATAAAATAAAAATGCTGCAATTTTCTGGTGTTATTTTATTATTGTTGAGGCAGTCTCCAGCTATATATTAAACTTCTTAAAATACAGTCCACTTCAGATTGGTTTTAATCACTGGCTGCATAAAAAAAATTTAACCAATCTTTATCTAATTCTGATTGGGTGGGCAAGACTGTCATTTGGGTGGGCTTAGCCCACCCCTGCCCATGCCTGGAGTCGGCCCCGCCTTGCAAGCTAGGTTGTCCTATTGTATAATGAGTGATAGTATGCAGTGTTATGCAGTTCCTAGAAACACAGCTTTATTAATAAGTTTAAAAAGTGTACCAGAAAACCTTGTATCAGAGAGTGTTGAAAAAAAGTACAATATCATCAAGGGGAATAAAATGTTTGATCAGAGAAACTGAGAAAAATCCTCAATTTACTGAATTTACTAGAAATATTTCATTGAATTTGAAGAATGCAGTGGCATGAAAACCAAAAATGATCAGTGATCTGGAAGCTTTTTCAAGTGAGGAAAGGGCCAAATTCCAGTAGAGAGGTTTCAGAATAAAATATTCTCTATAAAACTTAACTTTTGGGGGTTGAATAATTTCGTACATGAATTTAGAGAGCCAATTTGAGTATATAAATTATAATAGTTATAATAGTATATAATAGTAATTTTTTAAAGAAATATTTTTAAACATCTTAGCTCAATTGTTATGAATTATGAAGATAATATATAGTGTATACTGTATATTATAATATTATAAAGATAATTTATCACTATAGTGAAAGCCTTAGATATCATTTTTTATTTTTTATTTTGGACCCCATATTTTAAATGCACCACGATGACTGTTCACTGAATTCTCCCTCAGGTCTGGTACATGTTGGAGATGAGTTAAGGGAGGTCAATGGAAATCTCATTATACACAAACGTCCTGAGGAGATCAGCCAGATTCTGGTATGTTCACTATTCCTCTGTTGTTTTACAAAAGCTGAGTCATTCCCATAAGATTCCTTATCTGAAACGGCACTTACCTGATTTAGTGTCCTTGATTGTTTATTGTTTGTCGGGCTGCAGTCTCAGTCTCAGGGCTCGATCACTCTGAAGATAATCCCTGCCATTAAGGAGGAGGATAGATTCAAGGAGAGTAAGGTGAATGTAATCACTTTATTTGAACGTCATAGGACAGAAATGATAGTAGCTGCTTCATAATATGTATGCAATGTTATATGCTCTGTTTTTTTATTTCTCTCTTAAAGGTCTATTTAAGAGCCTTGTTTGATTACACACCATTTGAAGACAAGGCCACACCTTGTCAGGAGGCAGGACTGCCTTTCACACGTAGGGATATCCTGCAGGTGGTGAGCCAAGACGACCCAACATGGTGGCAGGCCAAAAGAGTGGGAGACAGCAACCTGCGTGCCGGCCTCATTCCTTCAAGACAGTTCCAGGAGAGGTACACAACAAAAATCATGTCTACAGCTACCTTTCATTTACTTTTATTACTGCCTTATAGACCAGATGTCTCTAATATGCAATAGTTGTTCAAGAGCAGATTTTAAGTGGAGGCTGATTCTTCAAAAAATTTGATTTGTTTGGATACATTAATAAGTTTCTTTCCTCCTTTTATGTAAATTACAAGCAGGATTGATGATGTATTAAAATGTAAATAAAACTGGTTTTAAAGTTCTGATATTAATTAGCTATTAATAGAACAGGAATTAAATCCTTGACCAAAATTATGTTGTATGCATTATTTTAATATCCATTCTGATTGGTCATTTTTAATCAAATCAGCCTCCTCTTGCAGTGTTTAATGGGCTATCATATATTGAATTAAAAAAAACATCCTTTTAAATTAGTTAATCAGATTTATGAATGGTAGTAGGTAAATTAATCATTTCATTTTGAATAAATATTTGAGGAGACAGCCCCCTCTCCCCGTGACAGTCCACCACTATAGGTCTTCTAAAACAAAGTGTTTGATTTCTGCTGATTATAATTATATTTGGACTTTTTGTCCTAAATCTGCAGACGACTGTTGTATAGGATGAAAATGGGAACACACCAGAGCCCTAAATCACCTAGAGCAACACCATGTAAGTTCTAAGAAACTACTGCATAGCTAACAGATACATTATACTACTTAACTAAAGACATGCATTTCTTGTTAATATTTAAACAAACGCTCTGTAAATGCAGAAATTATTTAGCACACAACTGAACATCTCACATCATATTTAGGTGTGTGACTAACCCTTATAGAAAATATGGAATCGTACCAAAGTGGAATGAAGGGAACTCTGGTATTCAGACATATTAATCAGTCTATAGTCAGATATTCCTCTTTTTGTCCAGTCCTGTTGAGGGTTACCCAGACGATGCAGTGCTATTTGGCAGGACAAATGTTGTTTACGTTCAGATGCTTTCAAATGTTGGATATGGGTATAATCAGCTTATCAATGCAGATTCTTGATTAGATTCTGAATTGCAAGCGCACAAGCTTGGGACAGTTCGCAAGATTCAATTCCAATTTCAAATGAATTCATTTAGGCTTCAGAGTCAGTTTTAAAGGGGTCATATGATGCTGCTAAAAAGAACATTATTTTGTGTATTTGGTGTAATGAAATGTGTTTATGCGGTTTAAAGTAAAAAAAAAAATTATTTTCCACATACTGTATATTATTGCACACAGCGTCTTCACGACATGGCGGCTGCAACAATACTTACAGCGAGAATAAAAGTTACGCCTTTCTTTGCTTGAACATTTGGGCGGCGTTATGCAAATTTTCCCAGATCGTGACGTAGGTATGTGGGGGTGTGTTAGAACGAGCCGTTTTAGGTAGGCGTGGTTAACTCTTAACTTTTATAAAGAATATCTCTTTGGATTTTAGACTTTAGTCTTTGCAACTTTACAGATCTTCTTTATGCACCAAGAGCTTGTAGCACTCCAAAGAGAAAGGAAAAATTGAAATCGCATCATATGACCCCTTCAATTATATATTCTTGCCAATACACAGTTATTGCATTGCATTCAATTCTACATTCACAACTCTCCCAGTCTGCAGAAAGTGCTGTATAAATATACTGAAAATAAATAGTTTGTGCAATTTTAAGAACAGATAGGCCTATCTGTATAGGATAAATGAAGATTGCCAGTGTATATTTTACCCAGACCTATCACAAATGACAATACTTGCAAGATTCCTTATTCATTTGCTTTTCATACTTATTCATGTTTCAGCAATTGTGTTTGTTTCCTCACTCTGCTTACCTCAGGTGACCAAACTTGTGAAAAAGGTAGGTGATTTTGAAAAAAAATGTCATTACATATGAAATAATTAAAAGGTAACACTTTATATTATAGTGTGCTTGTTACACACACACAGTTTATATAGTAGTAACGGTAAATTATGCATAATTACAACTCCATTTCCAAAAAAGTTGGAACATTTTTTTAATCCACTAAAAACAAGAATCAAAGCAAATGTGATTTGTTAATTATTTTTAACCTTTATTTAACTGACAAAACTGTGAATATAAGAACTAAGAATGTTTTCACTGACCAACTTAATTGTGTTTTGATAATATAAACAAATTTTGATTTCATTGGCTAACACATTCCAAAAATATTTGGACATAGGCAAAATAAAAGTGAAAAGATTATAGTTAAACAGATGAACTGGTAATAGGTAAGGGTATCATAACTGGGTATAAAAATCATCCACCAAATTCTCAGTCTTTGCAAGCAAAGATGGATCATGGCTTACCACTTTGTGGCAAAATATTCTCAATTCCCCAAAAAATGAGAATTCTGCCATATTTACTTGGCACCTTACACACTGAATACACTCCACATGGCTTTGGCTTTGGATGATGCTTTTTTGTGTGGTGTGGTGCGCTTTATACATCGTCTGGTTTTGTTGCGAGTTCTTCGGTACACTTCACCACAGAGCTCATACGCTTGGCACATCCTAAGACCCCAGCCATTGGTCACATCTTGAGCTTCGGACAACTCCCTCTTTGAGTTTTAGGGGTTTTTAGTGTGTGCTTTTTGCTACGAGGAAGATTGCCAGATTGGTGCACTTACTGTTTGTGGTGCTTACTGCTTAAAGGGACAGTTCACCCAAAAATGAACATTCTGTAATTTACTCAACCTCATGTTGTTCAGTTCAGCCTGTATGACGTTCTTACTACTGCTGACCACCAACAAACATTGAATGATATAATATGGTAGCATTTTTTGTTTTTCCTTTTAATGAAAGTGAATGAGGATCTGTGCCAGTATTCTGAAGTCATACAGTTGTTTTGTGTGAGGAATAGGCATTTACATTTACATTACATTTAGTCATTTAGCAGACGTTTTTATCCAAAGCAATAATTAATTAATTAGATTAAATTAAACTCAATCTGCACTTCTGCATATTCAAATTTCAATGATTTATCATGTTATATTGACATAAACCTGACACATTGGCACCATATTTGCATTTATTGTGTCTTCACAGCTTCATTAACTTTTTTTTAATTTTATGGAAAAAAAACCTGCCAGCAATTGACATAAACCTGACACATTGGCACCATATTTGCATTTATTGTATCTTCACAGCTTCATTAACTTTTTTTTAATTTTATGGAAAAAAAACCTGCCAGCATTTTTTCTTTTAGTGTTCCATGGAAGAAAAGTATGGAAGGGCATTTCCACCACATAAGAAAAAATGAAAAGCTAGGATTATGATATAAAAAAATCAAAATTATGACATAAAAAGTCATAATAATGACTATTTAAAATTATGGCATAAAGATCAACAATATGACAAGTATAACATATAACATGGTTGAAATTATGAGATAATGTGTAAAAATTGTGTTATTATTAAAAAAATTTTTGTCATAATTTTGATTTATCTCATATTAATGATTTTTATCTCAGTTATGACTTTGTATCTCATAATTATGTTTTTTAATCATAATTATAATTTAGCAAAGCATATTGTTTTCTTATGTAATGGAATTGGGCTTTTACAGGGAAGGAACTTGTGTGGGCTTGAAACTTTTATTTTTGGTGAATGTTTCCTTTAAGCGTGAACAACAGGTGCACTGCTACAGCCAGGGAACTATTGTTTTCGGCTAATGGCTCACAGAGGCTTTGGCATGGCTGATAGCTCGTGATAGTCTTTATAGAACTATAGAACTGCTGGATGTGTGATGGTCTAACCTTAGTTGTAGTTTCTCCAAAGTGTAAGGCGGTGGCACCGTCCTGTGGCCAGACCTTTTCCTGGGAGTTTTACTCAGGTACCATATTTGTCATACTGTCATATCATACTTGTAAGGTGAATAGATGCATTGCTGCTTTAACTTATTCACTGCATATTCAATTTTACAAAGCAGATGAACAGTGTGTTGCTATTTTCCCCTGAGATGCAGCTGTTACATAAAATCAGCAGCAGTGTCAGGCACATGGTATTTTTAGTCTGGAGGATATACCTCTTTCCATCCTTGTCTTTTTGTCTGATCTTTGTGTTCATGTAATTATGTCATGTCTATTTCTGATTTTCTCTATATTTTTAGATGTTTTTTTTTACCTATGTTGATCTACTGGAAAATATTTCTGCTCTCACAGCTGGTCTAAGGAGAAGCTTCAGACTGAGCCGCAAGGATCACCAGGGTTCAACCAAAGAGTCTCGTCCAGCAGAGTCTGAAGAGAATGAGTTCCTCATATATGAAGAGGTGACACTATATCAGATGAGAGCACAAGACAAACCAAGGCTTGTGGTGCTGATAGGTAAGATTCAAGGAATGTCAGGACATTCTACACGGCCTTCAGAATCTCATTTCCTTTTTTTCTGCAGGATCTCTTGGTGCTCGGATCAATGAGTTGAAGCAGAAGGTGATTGCTGAGAATCCTCATCAGTATGGTGTCGCTGTGCCACGTGAGTTTTCTTGTTCCATTAGCCCCACATTAGAGACTATGCAGGTTCTGGCTGATAATGTACACCAAGAAGCTGAATCAAAGTAGAACCTACTTTTGCTTCAAGTTGATGACCTGAGTTTAAAGCTTCTAATTTTACATTTTATTTATTCAAATAACTACATGTTGTGTATTGTAAAATCACATGTGACATTAACTAAAATGCTAGTATAATTTGTGTGATCATTTTCTAACAGACACAACAAGACCCAGAAAGAGCCATGAAAAGGAAGGTGTAGAATATCACTTCATCTCCAAGCAGGCCTTTGAGGCTGAAATCCAATCGAATAAGTATGTTGTATGAAACTTTTTAATAGCTATGTTGGGTGTGCTTTTTGTCAGTATTTTGTCAGTAAAACATCTGTGTGGCATTTTGTTAAAGGCATAGTTCACCCAAAAAGTTTTTTTTTTTTGTTGCTACCATTCTGTTGTAACTGCATGGCAATTTTCTTCTTATGTGTTCTGAGGAAGAAAAAGTCATACAGGTTTGGTAAATGATGACAGCTTTTATTTTCGGGTGAACTACTCATTTAATACTAGTGTTATCAGATTTAATTTGACTGTTGTTTGAATTGGCACAAAACATGTATTGTGTATACCCAGGTTTATTGAATATGGTGAATATAAGAATAACCAATATGGGACAAGTCTGGAGTCAATCCGGAGTGTCCTGGCGAGAAATAAAGTATGTCTGGTAGATGTTCAACCTGAGGTAAATATAACATTCTGTCATTGTAATTATTTTCAGTATTGGCTTTTCTCTGTATTTCTGATTCTGAGCTCTGGTCATATGTGATGTGAAGTAATACATAATGCATTTAAATAAATGAGTAATTGCACTGAAATTGTGATCTTTTTTTTTTTTGCATTGAAAAGAATAGCTTTGATATTTTGCTAATAGCTCCCTTTGTTTTACATGGCAAAAAGTCATACAGGTCTACAGGTAGATTATTGTATTCCTTTCTAAGTCACTTTGGATAAAAGTGTTTGCTAATTAACAATTATGTGTAAATGGAGACCTCTTGCACAGTGGTAATATTTCTGCTCAACCTAATCTTGATTTGAATCTACAACTTTTGCCATCAGCAGAGACTCTGGTCATAATTGGAAACCAATGCAATGATTTATATCTTTTTGTTACTCTAAATCTCAGGCCCTGAAAATTCTCTGTTCAGCAGAGTTTAAGCCCTGTGTGATTTTTGTAAAGCCACGCATCCCTGAGATACATCGGCAACGTAGCTCTCCCACATCACCAGGAAGGGGTGACAACGGACACATCACGGTGAGACGGGATTTATATCACCATACTTCCCAAATGCAGCTAGTAAATCTCTGTCATTTAACTCTTATATTGCACACAGTGAACAAAAACTCTCTATTTCTATTTCTCTTTCTCTATCCTCATGTGAAAAGGATGAAGACCTGCAGGACATGAGGCAATCAGCCGAGCAGATGGACCAGCAATATGGCCACCTAGTGGACAGGGTCCTGGTAAAGGAGGACTCTGCCAGTGCCTGTGTAGAGCTGAGGAATATTCTGGAACGACTCGAGAGGGAGCCGCAGTGGGTGCCTGTCAGCTGGGTCCGAACTTGATCCTCCCTCCTTCCTTAAATTCAAACACTCACATATGGTGTAATGAAAACATAGACCTCTCTGCCTCTTTCTGAGTCTGCTATCTGCCAGTTTCTGTTTCATCCTGTTCGACTGAAGTAATACAAAGCAAAATACAAGTGCTGTCTGAATTGTTAAAACTGAGGTTTGTTGTACTGCGCTAGTGGTGAAGATTTCTGTTCATAAGATTTTGCATGGACGTAGCATTGATAAGAAATGAATCACTGATAGCTGAAAGAATTTGTTTTCTGTGGAAAAAAATGGTTGTCCTTATTTCTGTCGAGTGAGCTGCACAAATGAACATCAAATGAGGACAGGACCACTTGAATGAGAGGACAACACTGACTCAGGTTTACTCACTGTGTCAAAGCTGGTTTCTTCCAGGCAAACAATCTAGTGTGAAAGTCTTTGGTTTTGTTATCTTCAACTTATGCTGGCTGTGTATATTTAGTCAAATGTAAATGGGAATGATGTAAAATATCATACTGTATATTTGCAAACAATTTCAGTGTTTACACTTGTGTAAAATAAAATTTCGTATTTGGTCACACATAAATTAGTTGTAATTGTCAATGTTTTTGTGTCAAACCGATGACTGTATGACGTCTGTGTAGTTTATTAGACAAATTCTACATTATAGTCAAAGAGCATAAAGCATGTTAACATCTTTATGGCCATATAGTACTGTTCAAAATGGTATGAATGTGTGCCCTTTTAGAATACATGGAGTATTTTTGAATGTAATTGTTATAATAAAAATTACAAACTATGTCTTTCTTTCAGATTTCTCTTTTATTAGAGAGAACATAAAAACATAAAATATTATTATTTGAATATTTAATATATTTATATTACATATACACACATTTAACAAATAAATATTGCTTTGAATGTTTAAGCCAACAGACCTTGAGCATTACATCATCTTGAGCTCTTGTTGAATTTTTAGTGACTGGTAATACAGCCATCCAGCAGCAGATGGTAGTAACAGGCTTTTTAATTCTATATTTATACCTCTTAAAACAAAACAAGCAGAGCATCATGAGGTAAAGTGGACCGTTTTAAATACAAAAAAAACAAGATTTATTATTATTAATTTATTGCCATTTCAGAAGTTTCATTTTTTCAAAGATACCAAAGTACCTCCTGTCCATGAATAGGAGGGCTTGTTCTATCTGAACTGACATCAGCGTGATCATATGAAACCAACATTTATAAGCACATAAAATACCAAATATTTTTGGGCTCATGTACTGCAGCACATTCTCATCTGATTTCACTGGTTGATTCTCTAAATACTGATATTCTTTCAATAGCTCTGTAAATATTGCCACACTATGCAAAACTGCCCACATTTCAACTCAGGTACTTCAGGTCACGGAGGAAGTGACACGTAAAAACCTAAGACCGTAACACAATTGTGTGTCATACTCAACAATCATATTTGTGCACAGTCCAATTAATGCAAGTAAACGTTTTTAAAATGGAAAAAGTCACACAGACAAATGAAGAAATCCTTGCAAGTTCTATCTTGTTCTGCGCTCTCTTCCCCTTAATACATGTTTGCATGACTGCTGATATCAAGCAAACACACCCTGCATTGTTTAACCAACCTCAAGAAATCATCCATAATCAACAGCATTCAATGTGAAAACAATAATCCTATTAGTCAATCCAATACTCAAAATGTTAAATAAAACACCAAATGTTCTAAATTGTCCTGCTTATACTAAACTGCATACTTTAACAATCTGTAATTGCACTAAATTTAGCAAAACACCTGGTTAAACGAAAATCAAGCACTTTCCTTGATTCTATATTATAGAGGTAAATTAATTCTCACTGATCATCATCATGGACCATCATTAGTGTAAGCAGAATGTGATTTGATTAGTGTATTTTGTATCATTATGCTGATGGCCAGCTGTAGCTACATTGAGTGTGCAGGCTGTCTGTACGCTTCCTGTTTTGCAAGTGTGGTTAATGGACCAATAGTTGCTTGAAGTTTCCATTCTTGAGATACAGACTTAAGTGTTTAGATTAGACTTCAGCAAAACAAACTCAGACGTCTCAAAATGAAAAGAAGACCATAATAAAAGGTAAAAATATATTATTTTGAATATGCTGACAGCGCACCCAAATTTGAAGTATTTCACAAATGTATTGTAATATGTTTTTTGCTTAAATGGCTGCTTCTAACGTCATTTTATTAGAGAATTTTTATTAGACAATGCATTTTAAAACTTTTTATACAACTATGCTTTGTCTTTTCTGGCTCCTGAACTTATTCAAAGCATATACATTTATCTATAACAAAAAATATTCACCATGGAATAAATATATCCTACAGATGTATGAATTGTATTTAAAAACATATTATATGTGTTTATTTTCAAGTTTTAGAAGTGCCCTTACCTATATCATTTTCATGAAATATGGTTGAAGTATTGTACTCTGTATTTTGTGATGATCATAAATGCATTATACATTTTGTAAAATGTTGCAATATGGATCTTGCTAATGTAGGTCACATTACTCAATAGGCTGCTATCATTGCAACATACAGCATTTGACCGTCTAACACCAATAGAGCATGACAGCTTCATAAATGTTTAACACCCACAAATGACAGCTTGCAATTGGTATGATGTGATCTTGCACTTATGAACAAGGTCCCCACTCATTTTGACCAATGATCTTCCATGCTTTCCAGATATTCATGATGAAATTATTATTTTTTTATTATTATTATTTTTAATAATTCAAAAAAGTGATTACATTTGCAAAGAGTAATTTCTAGCACAACCAATTAGAAAATGTTGAATTATAGGATGTATAAAAAAAAAATCCAGAACTTTTTCCCCATTTCCCTGGCCTGATATTTTTTTCTATTTGTGACCCTGGACAACAAAACCAGTCATAAGTTGCACTGGTATTTTTGTAGCAATAGCCAAAAATACACTGTATGGTCAAAATTATAGATTTTTCATTATGCCAAAAAAATCATTAGGATAGTAAGTAAAGATCATGTGCCATGAAGATATTTTGTAAATTTCCTACTGTAAATATATCAAAACGTACTTTTTGATTAGTAATATGCATTGCTAAGAACTTCATTTGGACAACTTTAAAGGCGATTTTCTCAATATTTGTATTTTTTTTGCACCCTCAGATTGCAGATTTTCAAATAGTTGTATCTGTAGTTGTATCTCCAAATAGTGCCCTATCCTAACAAGCCATATATCAATGAAAAGCTTATTTGTTCAGCTTTCAGATGATGTATAAATCTCAATTACAAAAAATTTACCCTTATGACTGGTTTTGTGGTCCAGGGTCACATTTATGAAAATTTCTATCTGTATAGTTAGGCCTAAGTGTTTATAGGACCTGAATGAAAGCTGAGCAAGGGAAAATGGGGCATGGCAGAGGCCGGTTTCAAACCTGCTCCTCCATGAACTAGGTCTATTTTTATGATGTGAGCACATGAAATGCCCACTGTGCCACAACTGAAGAACCAGTTTTGTGTTTGTGCCAAAAGTAACCTTAGCCCACATGTGACACAAACTAACAACCTCATTATATGTGAATAGTTACAGTGACACGGTAAAAAAAAAAAAAGCCTCTGTATTATTAATAAAGAAAAAATACAGAAAAGAAATTACTTTTATCCAGAAATTGCGCGTCACAGCTTCGTCAGAGGTCTATCTAATTTTGGTTGACGCTTTTCCCCCGCCTCTCTCTCGGCTCACTGCTGTGACGATCTGCGGTCAGTGAGGTGCATGCGGGCCACGACTGATTCTTTCCTGCGCGCTGATTGCTCGAGCGCCTCGCTCGCCTGCTCTCCTGCTCTCCCATTGGCTGTCAAAATGGGTTACTGTGAACCAATGCGCGCAGAGGCTTGATGTACCGGCTGAGAGCTCCTGGCTTTGGCAGTACAGCTGGACCGCGAAGGGGGCGTGCCGCTGCAAACGACTGTTCGTCAGTGGGTTTTTAGTTATCATGGTCGACACGTTGTTAAATTAAGTTTAAAAGCAAGAAGGAAAAAACTGTACTTGTTCAAACTATAATAGAGCAAACTGTGTCTGCCGTTTTGGTAACAAACCACGGGTTTCAATGAATTGCACCAGGTAAGAATACAGAGTGCGTCACAGTGCATCGAGTGGGTTTGTCACTGCGTGCTGGAAAAGTGTAAAGATGACTTTTGAATATGACTAATGATTTAGATTCAATTTAAAACAATACTGGCTTGTTTAAAGTATTATTTGAACATTGGGAATGTCAAGCTGTTTAAACTTCTATTAGCGTATCTGTTTATGTTACTAGTACTGAATTTTTAATAGCTGGTAATTAGTCCAACTGCGACAATTGGTTGACATTTAGTTCCATTGTTTTTGCTATTTTTTTGCCAATGAATTCTATAGGGATCTGTGGTTTAGATTTAGCTGTAGTACATATTCCAGTTTTACTGGTACTATTCATTGAAGTACTGGTATTCTCTAGTTACTAGTCTCTGTTATAGCTTTACTATTATTTTTGTATTAAATAATAGTTTCTATTTTTGAGACACTGCTATGCTGTTATTAGTAACATTGCTTATCTCACTAGTTACAATAAAATGTTTGTCATACTGTAACTAGCCAGTCATTACATATATACAGACTGCATACTTTATAGGTAAATTCTTAAAAGTAGTACTACAAAAAATTACTAGTAAGAACTGAAATGCACAGTAGTGCCTACTGTCTAATTACTTTTAGTGCTAAAAAGACTGGAATAGATATTTTATAAATGTATATTTTATAATGTGTTGCTTTTGGATTTATCCCAGTCCTTAATTTTGTCATGTATTAAAGTATGATATAAATATTATATGTAATAATAAATATAATATGGAAGTATGAATATTCCTTATAAAAACTGATAATTATTCTAATTTGAAAGCTTAAACCACCAGCTATTGCACTATAATTGAATTGTAAAATAGCTCAAACTAGCTGCAGATATAGTTTTGTTAACCACTTTAATCTCTAAATTCTGAGGAAAGTATTTCACGTCTCCTGCTTAATTGGTCACTGTAGTGTTCTTCATTATTGTCTTCATGAAAGGGTTCTGCAGATACTCAACCCCAGGCCAATGCCAAGTCCAATTATGCCTGTGGATGTGGCAATGAGAATTTGTCTGGCACATTCGCCGCCTCTTCGCAGTTTCCTCAGTTCATATGAGGACTGCAAGTCCAGGAGCCTAGTCAACCAGTACAAACCTCTGAGATCCTGCATCAGCACCAAGACAGATGTGGACACTGATAACATAGGATGGAAGAGTCCCGAGACCAAAAACAAAAAGAAAGTGTTTTTTGCTGACTCCAAAGGCATGTCTCTGACAGCAGTCTATGTATTCAAGGAATTCGAGGAAGACCCCATGTTAGACCTGCAGTTCGAATTATCAGACTTGGAGGACGCCATTGTGGGCCTGAAAGCGGAGAAGGAGAAGAATTTGATTTTGGATTTCCCTCAGCCTGCTGCAGACTATTTGGACTTTCAGAACCGTCTAAAGAAGAGCCTGGTATGCTTGGAAAACTGCAGAATTCAAGAGAGATCGCTCACCGGCACAGTCAAAGTGAGCAACGTAAGCTTTGAGAAAATGGTCCATATGCGAATAACATTTGATTCATGGAAAAGCTACGCTGATATTCCTTGTACATACATGAATAATGTTTATGGTTGTGAGGACGTTGACGCTTTCTCATTTTTCATCGACCTTCCAAGTTTTGTGCACCCACAAGAGCAGGTGGAGTTCTGCATATCCTACAAAACTCATGATACCACATACTGGGACAATAACAACGGGAAAAATTACAAGCTGGTACATGCAGAGAACGACCCCAGCCAGACCAGTGTAACCCAACAGACGGCTACAGATTTCAAGAATCAAGGCAAACGGCCAGAGATGGAATATGATCAATTTGGGAGCCCGAGAATGTCTAGTGGATTCTTCCCCGAGTGGCAGAGTTGGGGTCATATTGAGAACAACACCCCCTACTGGTGACAGTTCAAGACCCCTGATGAACTTGAAGTAAATGTTGTAACAAGGACAAATGCAAATGGTTTCAGAATTGACTTTTGAAAAGGGTAGAGTAGAAAGAGTAGAAATTAGCAATGATATCCTCAAAAGAAAACAATTTTGGCCATGTGTGGCCATCTTTCATACTGTCCAAATTAATTCAATGTTGGTGTATGATTTTGAAATACACATTTAGTTTAAAATGAGAAGTTTGGGCTGTATGCAACTTTGAGACTAACCATGTTAACCGTATGGCAGTTACTCAGAATGAAAAATGTTGGTTTATGTAATTTTCTAATTTTCTAGCACACTACGTACACTATTTTGTAGATCTGACATGGGGTAAACCAATAATTTTCATAACATAGATGCCTTCCTTTGTGTTATTCTGTAATTAACTGTTATACAAAGGCATTGTTTTGGATATCTTTCCAAATGTCCTTGAATGAAGCGAACAACTAGCATTTGCTCTGAAATAGATTCTACAACATACTATTTTCTGCAACATATTACCTTGAAGGGTAATAATTTTGTTACTCTATCTAAAGTCACTGAATATTGGGAATCCTGCTTTTGAAATGTGACTGGACGTTAATAATTTAAGTCATCTTTAAAAGGATAGTTGAACCAAAAATGAAAGTTCTGTAATTTATTCAACCTCCAAACATGTATGCATTTCCGTTATTTTAACACAATAGAAGATATTGAATAAAATGTATCAGTGTTTTTTTTTTTGGCCATATAATGAAAGTAAATGTTGTTATGGACCCCACTGACTTTTATTGTATGGACAAAACAGTTCTTCAAATTATGTTCTCCAGTGTTCCACTGAAGAAAAAGTTGTTGAAGTTTAATACCACGTGAGGGTGATTAAAAGATGACAGAATTTTCAATTTTGAGTGAATTGTCCCTTTAACAGCAGTGCATAAAATGTGTGTAATTTTCGGATTATGGAATAATCTGGTACAATATGAGATTGCTTCATATTGAAGTTTTTGCATCTCATTTGATAGTACCAGTTTATCTGTCTTTTTCTAATGAATGCACTAAGCGTGACGCACTATAAGGGAGTCCATGAGAGATAATAATGCCCATTAAGTGCTAAATCCCTGCTGTTGCACTTCCGATTTTTCCTACGTCTGTTCTACTTTTTTAAAGCTGCACTTTCCTACAACATATTTGCTGCTATGGTGCTATTGTGTGTGGCTGTGTGTGCTGCATTGTGATTTATGACCCATGGTGTGTGGAAACTCTCCAGTGTTATTTGGAGGATAAAAGATGAGGGATTTGGATGTAACTTTATGAAGGTCATAGTAAGTCAGGTAGCGTGGCTAAAGAGAGTGATAATATTGAATGAGATTGTTGCTTTTTTCCTGATTGTTTTTCCCTCTTCTGCTACAATAGAAAAACAGGTTGAGGCTTTGAACGAAAGTGATTGTAGACTGTGATGAACCGTGAGCTGCTGTAATTGCGGAGAGGGATCATGTAGGTTGAATGTAAAAAGGGACCTACACAAGCCACAGTGTATGCCTACATATTATTCTACTGCAAAGAAAGATGTTTGTTTGAAAGAATCTTATACTATACTCTGTGTTCCTGTTAGAAATAAATTTGAATGTTTCTATGATTAGTGGACTTGTGTTTTATTATGAATATGTCATGTTTTACTTCAACTGCTTCTCATTAATATCATGACTTCAATATCAAGAGTGCACCATGAGATGACACCAGGCCTCTGTTATATACTAATGAATGAAAATGAATGTTTTGCTTAGGAGTGTATCAACATGTTTATGACCTTTTAGAGTCAGGAATCATTCCTGAATGAGAAGAATAAATACCTGTTAAGAGATAAAAATGTTTCTAATGTGCAGATGACCAACAAGCATAAATGTTTAAAAAAAGAGCATATTTCTAATAACAGAATGAGTGCTGTTAAGATTGCTGACAAATATTTACTCCCATAGCTAGAGGAAGCTAAAAAATTTTTTTAGCCTACTCTTGACTCATTTACCAGATGTTTTATAAGTTAGTGATGTGTTTTTGTGGGAACATTTTGTCAGTATATCTTGTATGTTTAGCCGAATGTTTCAGTTCAGTTTTGCTATTAGTGTTCAGTAGTACCTCAATTTGCTTACTACTTTGTTTACTAACTGAATCCTGTTAAGTTTTTAGGCTTGTCCTCATCCTGAACATTAAAAATTATATACAAAATGGATATTTCTTGCTAACTTATCAAATAAGTGAATTTGTGATATTGATTATGTGACTCTTCATACAGAGAGTCAGATATTCTTCCACTGAAGCTTTCTGGATCAGTAATAATAATAATTAAAAAATGCATTAAAAATGCTTTAAATTGGAAATACGCAAAATCTTCCACATGCATCACCTCTAGCCAATATATAAGCACAGTCTGTGATGTAAGGATGTATATACACTCTGATAAGAATAATTGTCAATTGTATTATCATTCTTGCAATCCAAAAAAAAGTTGCAGAGCTTTATAATCAGAGTGTAATTCAAAATGATGTGAAGTCGCAATCCTAAAGGGTTACGATTCTAAAACTGGATTGAACCAAATTGCAAACGAGCAGCAAAGCATTATTCCACAATCATATTATTGTGTTCAGAGTAATGAAGGTGATGCAGTAATTCAAATTGTGTGTTACAAGGAAAAGGAACATTAGAGAGAGGCAGTCTATGTGGAAAAAGTGCTGGCGCTGTGCTGGATTACAGGCTTCTTCCGTTAGAAGCATCAGAGCAAACCAGTCTTCAACCATTAAACCAGAGCAGCTGAATCTCCTGATGCAAAATCATTACATTTTTGTCACAAGATGGAACAATAATAGTTCCCTAATAATGTACACAAATAGGTGGTATAGATTATTAACATTTTAACAGGGTATTGCGGTGTGGTGGTTAATGCACAGGGCTAATAACCAGAAGGTTACTGGTTCAATTCCCATAAGTACTGAGCCATGAACCCTTGAGCAGGATTATCCTCATAATAAGTCTATTGTAAATTGCTATGGATAAAAGCAACTGCTAAATAAATTAACTTTACTATAGGGATCACAACTGCATAAAGTCACAAATTGTTTCTCCAACAAAATTAACTGCAGCCGCTATATTGTTTGTAATGACTTTTACACAAAAGGCACTAATCAGATGATTGACGGTGCAGTAACTATTTGGCTTAGTATGGATCACATTCTGATTAATAACAATTCGCCCTTCACATTATATCCACTAGTTCTATTATTGGTCTTTGTTGATACCCTTATATAGTCTTTTGGGTATCTTCCTGACAATTTTGCAGAGCACTACAGATCAGTCAGATGGCTTAATAGTGATAGTGAGATACCATTAGCATCTATATGTAGCTCTTTATTACCAGGCATGTTTGGTTTATATGTACAATAACAATTCAAATAATGTATGCCAAATAATATATGCTAAGGTACATTAACGTGTGCTAATAGGTGTCTGGAGTCAAACCAACTAAAGTGTCAACCTCTTTCACAGTCTCTCTTATCTTTAACAGGTCTTAAACTTAATGTATAGCAAGCTTTCAGAAGTATGCCTGCAAAACCAACAGCATTGTGACTCTCTGATTAAACAAGACACACTGGCAAACAATTGGCTGATTAAAATTCCAGCTTTTCATCATGCTGTTTACCACAAATAATTTTGAAGTAAACAAGTCTATTTCTTCACTGAATGCATAAAAAGGATCATTAGAGACAGCTTTTTAAAAATTTTTATTATTATTTTTTTCGGTAAACAGCAATGCACAATGGTCTAGCCATTTGGCTACTTTTGGTGAGTTCATTACAAAGATGCTAATGTTACATGTTGACTGAGAATAATATGAAATGAGATTGAATAAATGAGATTTCATTACTTTTGCGTTCACTCTCAAAGGTTTCGTGCTCCCCTAAACCTTTGCGAACAAAAATGTTGACCAAAAAATACAAATTTTGAACAAATGCATAACTGGTGATGGAAATAATATGAGATGGGCTTTTGAGAGTGAAGACCATTTCTTTGGCAAATTTCTTTTGCGAAAGAAAGCTAAAGTTTTGCAAGCAAAACAAGTTTCTCAAGGCAAAGCAAACATTTTGTAAGCAAAAGCACTGAAGCATAATTGCAAAAGCAATGAAACAAAATTATTTCTGCCATTTGATCTTTTTACCCTCCATGTGATATTGCTCCATGGTTCAGTACTAGTAAAATCCATTAATGAGAGGAAATGGGTACATTTAGCACTAAATAGGCAAAATGGGTTGAATCTTGAGTAATCTTGCATATTCTAGTCTTAAGTGTTGCACTGAACATCATCAACATTAGGTAACATAAAACCTTTTGGAAGCGAATTTTCCACTCCCCTGTATGACTTCAAGGGTCAAGCTCAGGCTTAAAAGCCCAGTTGAGGACATTGAGCCCAGTTTTACTCAGCACTTGAAATCCCATGTATACATGTGTCATTGATTGGCCTGCTGGGTAAGTGTTTGCGTAGGGAGAGCTGGAAACCATTGCTCCCTGTATCTATGTTTAGTTCCTAAGCTCATACCTCTTAGTCTTGACATGCTGGCAACTGAACTAAATGTCAAACATCTTTCATGATATACTACAGTATATCATTTAAACAGAAATATTTTCAATGAATGCAGGACTCCATATATACCAACCAAAACATTTTGAGGTTGGGAGGTGACACGCATGTCCTAGATTTGATATTGTCTTCTATGGAACTCAGGTGGTACAAGTGTTGAAAAATTTTCAAAGAAAGTAGGGCACTGTGTTTACCCAATAGTGGAGGCTGAGATGTGACACACATCCAAAAGCAAAATTAGCTTTGTGTCTGAAAACTATTACCTCAGTTATCTAATAATAAACATTGCACAAGTTAAGATTCAAATTAACTCAAGATGATGTGTGAGACAAATGGTATTTTTAAACTTCTTAAAAATCATGCATGCATAATCGTATTACTATTGTAAATACATGTAATGTGTAACAAGGACAATGTAAAATAAAGTATTGCCAACTTTTGTCATTTATTGTGTTTTAAGTATTTGTAGTTCAAACATTACAGCTGCCAAATGCGTATTTCTGAATTTTTATGGTCAGCGCATGTTCTGAAAAATTGGTATATTTAGCCATAAATCAGATATCAGAAATCAGAAAAAAATCAAATTAAACTTCAATACATTTTGTAGTTATGTAATGATGATTAGAGTGAATAAAGGGAGGTGCTGACCACAGTGGCATATGCCATAACTATTAATGTGCTTGAATTTTACAGAGATGACAGGCATGAACTGACATGTCTGCTTGAATACAGAGCTGCTGATTTTCACAGTGAGACAGACATTTCTACATACACATACCAATAATTTCACACATACAGCACATTAGCTGGAATTCTCTTTCTCAAAGAAAAGAAAATGTAAAAACTAATAAACAAACAAACAAATAGAACATACCTTTAAAGAAGTTTTTAATGCTAATGAAATTAGAAAATAATATATTAAATTCCAAAGTTGGTTTAGATGTTTTAGTAAATGTCAGTGTTTTAGCATTTGTCAGTATTAAGTGGAATTGACAATAACTTGACTGTCACCTCATGATTTGTAATCATGAAAGGTTACTGTAGAGTAAAGAATATAAATCAAATGCCTGCCAATGTTCTTTATTTAATCAGTGATGATCCAAGTTTAAATCAATTAAATCAACATAACTCTGACTTGTCAGGCAAATGTTGCTGTATTTAGCTAAAACATACAGAGTCCGTATCTAATTCTCGCATTTTATAATTGCAAAAGGTGAATCTGTACTTGTGAAATCAAGAGATCATCATCTCTGCTGTATATAGGAAGAGATTAAATGTAACACATGACAGTGGGCCGGGCCTCTAAAGTAGGACACATCCAGGGATTATTATGGCCAGTGTTTATCTCCCTAGTTTATCTCCCTTTATGCTCTGACCACTGTCACAGACAAAACACTATATTACCATATGTATATGGTGTTTTGTCAACTTTTATATATATATATATATACACCATATAATTAAAAGTTGTTTTCAGAAAATATACCTTTGAAGTAAATGTATTTTCCTCACACCAATGGCAAATAAATCAATATATAAATAACATTTTTATTTTAAGCATAGACCTTACTATATTTTATTACATTTATGCTACAAGAAGTAGCAAATGTGGCAAGAAAAATAAATTCCTGATAAGTAATTTTTTATAAATAATATATTATCTGAAAAGCATTAATACACATTGTTCCTCAAATGATTTTACATTTAACTGGAAAACAAAACAAAACAAAATACCTTAATACCCTTGTATGTACATTTTTATCTGCAATGCATTTTTGTAATATAATTTGAGACTAAGATATTAAGACTATTCATCTAAGACTTACACACTGCACTTCTTGACCTCATGCGCTCTTTGATCTTGTATGTGGTTGAGATTCAATTGAAATCGGTATATGTCTGTATTTGCAGTCAAGACCCCCTCAGGGTTGATCTTATACCACAAAATACTTTGAAACCAAACTATGGTGGTACAATCAGAGA